GCGTTGACGTTGCGAGACACCTCGTCGGGGTTGAGGGGCTCCCGCAGCACCCCCGGCCCCGGGGGCTCCCCCTCGCCCGCCTGCTCCTCGGGGTGCGCCAGGAGGTAGCAGAGCTGGAAGCAGCGGCAGAGCAGGAGGTGCAGGGTCTGGACCTGGGGGAGGCGAAAGACACTGCGTGCAAATCTTAAAAATAATGATAATTGTGGGGGGGGTTCGGGGGATGGGGGGGTTGGGCCGCCACCTCTCCCGGGAGCCCCACGAAGAGGTGGCAGAAGAGGGTGCTGGGGGGGCTGTGGGGGTTGCGGGCCACGAGGGCGAACTGGCGGTCGGCGAGGCAGCACGTGCTGTACAGGATCCGGCGGAGAGCGTGGGCCATCAGCAGGGTCTGGGGGACCAGAGGGGAGTCAGGGGGACCCAGCACCCCCGGGGGAGTCCTCCCAGTGTCACCTCTATTTGCCCAGAAGTTTGCAACCCAACTTAGAAAAGCAAAGCAGGTTTGCAAGCGAAAAGCTCAGAGAGGTGCAGCCCCCCTGGGGCACCTTTCCGGCAGCACCCAGAACCCAAGAACCTCCCCAGCACCCTTGACCATCTCCAGCACCTCTGACCCCCCCTTCCAGCATCCCTGAGCCCCCCAGTACACCTGACCCACCCCACAGCACCCCACAGTGGCCCCTCCCCAATACACTTGACCCCCTTCCCCCCAAACACCTCTAACCTCCCTTCCCAGCACCTCAGCACCCCTGACCCCCTATCCAGCACCTCTAACCCCCATTCCCAGCAACTCTGACCCCCATCCCCAGTACCCATGACACCCCCCAGCACCCCTGACCCTCCCCAGCACCCCTGAACCCCCTCCCCAGCACCCACGACCCCCTCATCACCCCTGACCCTCCCTCCCATCACTGACCCCCCCCGCACCCCTGACCCCCCCCCCAGCCCCCTACCTCTCCGTCAGCGCCGTAGACCTTCAAACCCTGCAAACTGAACCTCAGCACCACCAACCTCCTCCTGGGACAGTCCTGTCCGGGGGACATGTGGCACTGGGGGGGCCGGGCTGTGGCACCCGGGGGGTCCCCCCCATGATTCGGGGTCCCCCCATTTCCCAGCGAGGGGGAGCAGTGGTAGATGCCCCACCTTCAGTGCCCGCAGCTGCTCCTCCAGCCGCCCCCCCTGCTGCTGCAGGTCCAGCTCCTCCACCACGAAGGAACCCACGTACTGGGGGGGCAAAACCCACCCGTGTCAGCAACAACCCCCTGATGCTGCAATTGCTGCCCCCCAAGGTAACCAGCCCACCCTGAGACGATGTTTTGGGGGATCACGGGGATGTAGCTGCACCCAAACCCCATCTTGGGGTTTGTTCCCCCCCCCATGGGTAAGTCACCTCTGCTGGCTTGGTGACACCCCGGGCTCGCTGTTGGGGGGCCGCAGGGTCCGGCCCCCTCCCATTGGACGGCTTCTTCTTCATGGTAGTGGGGTTTTGGGGGTGAAGGCTGGATCAGGATGGGGTTAAGCAGCTCCGGTGCCACATGTGAATTATCCGGAGCCCCCCGGGGCGGTGGTGCTGGAGCACTCGGTGGGAGCCTGGATGTGGTCCCTGGTCTCCGTCCCTGCGAGGAGGGAGGGGACAGACACAACCTGCCCCCACTGTCCCCTGTTTCCAGTCCCTGCACGGAGTTCCCCAAGTCCTGACGCCAATGCAGATGTCCCCAGGTCCTGTCCCCATCACAAGGGTTCTTCCATACTGGCCCAAACAAAAGGGTCCCGAAGTCCTGACCACAATCCCAACGTGAGGATCCTGCATCCCAGACCCAACACAAGGGTCTCGGTGTCCCAGCCCCTTGTGGTCTGTCCCTCTGTGACCCCAGGTGCCATGCAGGGCTCCCCACAGCCTGACCCCGACCCCAAGACAAAGGTCCCCGTGTTCCAACCCTGACACCACAGTCCCAGTGTCCTGATCCCAAGTGCAATGTGAATGTCCCCCTGTCCTACCCCTGAGTTCCACGCGAGGGTCCCATAGCAGGATGCAGGCAGTCCCTGCGTCCTGACCCCGAGGGCAATGTGAGGAGCCCCAGATCCCAACCCCAAATGTGATGGATGCAGTCCCCACATCCTTCCCCCAAAAGAACCCCAAGAGATCCCTGCATCCCGAGCACACAGTCCGGACCAAGGGAGTTGCACTTGCAGCCCCACATCCCAAACTGCAGCAAGATTTTTTTAAGGTTCCCCCCCCATCCTGCCCCTCTCCCAGCGCTCCATCCCCTGTCCCCGCTGTCCCTGCATTCCGAGACCCCCGTGGCTGTCCTTCAGGGGTGATCCCCAAAACACCAGCGATGGGGGCAGCAGGTTTGGGGGTGCTTTTTCGGCCAGAGCACCCACCAAGGGATGCGCCCGGCCCCTCTCCAGACACCCCAAGGGGGTTTGTGCTTCGCAGCCCTCGGCCGGGCTGAGACCGGCACAACTCGTGTCACGGAGACGCGGCCGCCTGGGTGCAAACACATGGGAAAGGGGAGTCCGGCTGCACCAGGCGCACCTAATGAGGTGTGGGGGGGTTCCTCCGGTGCCGCCACCCGCGTTACAAGCTCAGGTTTGCCCCTCTCATTCCAGCGCAATTTGGGGGGTCTCCCCCCTCCCCCAGCCAATCCGCGGACAGGCAGCCCCCAAGCCCCGCCCCGCTTTTCCCACGCTTCATTCCTCAATGGAGCCCCCGGCCCACCGGCCACCCTGGGGGGCCCCAAGGGAGGGATGCTGACCCCAAAATTTGGGGTGCGCGTGAGCGTGTGCGTGACAGCGGACACCGAGCATCCCCCGGGACCCCCATCCCGCCGGGCCCCCATCCCGGCTCACGGGCAGCTCTCGTTTGGATGGCTCCGGAGAAACGCAGGTGAAAAATTCCCGGTGCTGCGGGTCCCGGCCTCCGCTGGTTGTTTTCCCTTTGCCGGTGGCTCCTCCGGCAGCTCCCGCCGTGGCGCAGGGATGCTCGACCCGTTGGCGTCAGGCCCTCGCCGCCAGCCAGGCCCCGGCGAGCCCGAGCCCACGGAGCCCACGCCGGGCACGGGGCAGGCAGCGAACTCCCATTTCCTGCCTCCGATCTGCCCGCGATGAATCACCGCAATTTTCCTCCCCGGTTCTCTCCGTTTCTTGGAAGCGACGGCGAGCAGGAGCGCTCGCTCCGGCTTTTTGGAAAACGCGGCTGCGGCTGATTTTCTCTCTCCCTTTCCCCCCTCTCCTCCAGCGCGCCCGGCGGAGCAGCGATTTCTAACCCAGACACGCACACACGTGGTCGCTCGCTCGCTCGCCACCCCTGCTCAGACCCTTTTCACCCCAATTTCTACATTCATTGGGGAGTTTTGCCCACTGCCGCCTGCTTTTGCCAGAAAAAAATAAAGAGGGATGGCTCCGACCTCACTGCAAAGCACCCACGTAACCCAGAGCCTCCCCAACACTCTCTGGTCGGCTGAGGCGAAGCTGCTTCCAGCCCCAGGGATGCACTTGGCTCCTGGACTGGGAAAGCAGCAGTCTGGGGAGGTGATGGGGTCTAACGCCCTGGGATGCATCCAAAAATCCCTGTCTCGTGCCCCAGTGATCCCAAGGGTGCAAGGAAAAGCGTCCAACCAGTGGCATTCAAACCTTGGGTCACAGCCAGCACCAGCTGCTTCAAGACACCGTGAGATGTGCTGGCAGAGCCACCGGAACAATCGATAGCGTAGAAACGGGGGAAAAATGGAAAAAACAGGACAGATGGGGCTGAAGAAATAACATAACGGAGCCCAGTCTGGCCAGGAAGCAGAGACTGGAGAAGAGCGAGCGGCGGAGGCAGCACGAACCTCCCTGGATGTGCTTGCTGTGTTGGTAATGAAGGTTTTCCAGCTCAATCCCAGTCAATCCCCATCCCTCCTGGGAAGCAGGGATCAATCCTTTGGATTAAATACAACCAGCTCTGTGGCTTTCGGCTTTGGCTCAGTGTGCAGAAATCACCTAATTCAAACCACAGCCAAAGAATCTGGTGATGATCAAGGGAGCCAATGGCTGGTTTTGGCTCCACTCAAAGTTTGAGGTGCACCTGCTCAGGTGTGAGAAATAGGTGTCATCCAGGGCAGTGGTTTTTAAAAAAAAAAACATCTGTGGCATTGTTGGTGTTGGAATGTTACTGGGAAGAGGGAGGTGGCAAAATGCCCAGTGGTTGAGTGAGGACTCTTCGTCCCCATAAATATCCTACCACTGAGAGAAGTTTCTCAGATTTGACTCACTGCAACGCCAACAAACCCCTGCTTTCAGCACAAGTAGCCCCAGGAACAAGCCATTAACTAATGTCCTCTAATTGCTTTACATCCCTGTGGATTATTCTTTGATTGGAGCTTTCACTCTCTCTTTCCCATCAGCTGTGACTTTTAGCCTGCTGTTTGCACTCTCCTTACAGGGCTGGGAACAATTTGGGCTATTTCTATACGAATTTTTTTAACTCTCCGTTGTTAGAGGCAGTACACTGGGACGGCAACTGAAAAGGATAAATTCAATAAGGCTATTTTCTCCCTTTCTGTGTGTGCAATTCCCCTCCTCACAGCATGGTACGTGCACAGCTCTTTGCAAAAGCACGTTGGAGACTGTCAGATCCCATTGGAATTGCTGCCCTGGGCACGGCAGAGCCGGGGACGTGGAAAGATGTGCTTTGAAGGTGCTGCTGTGTTGAGCTGGGCAGGGGGAGGAGGCTTCAGCTGGGCTTTTTTTGTTCCCACTGATCCCACAGGGGGAAGAGGAGCAGCAAGAGGTTCCAACAGAGCTTCCTTCTTGCTCACCTTTGTCTCCAGAAAAACCAGGGAAGAGAAAGGTCAGGAGCTGGTCCAGCTACAGAGCTTGGCAGGGGCTCAGGCTAAATCACGCTGGCACTGTGCTTTTAACAAAGATCTGCATCTGCAGCAATCCGTGGTGACTGTATTCCCTCCTCTCTGCCTTTCCAGGAGGAGAAGCTGTGGCGAGGAGAGAAAGGACACAGGAAGCAGGCCTGGAATCTAGTTTCATTTTATTTTAGCAAACCGCATGTTTGTCACTTATCAACATCTCTACATTAGCAATTGTATAGCTCTCCAACTTCTCTTTAAAAAAGGGTAAACAAGAGGGGACAAACTCAGGCTTTTTCATCTCTTAAAAACATCTGAAAGTTGGATTCAAGAAGACTTTGATATATTTTGGTTTCAAGGTAACAGATGTGGTGTGGAAACACTAATTCAAATCACCCGCCTGATCGAGAACTGCCCCTTTTGGAGCCCCTCTGGCACCAGACCCTCAGGAGAGGCTGAAGATGTGACTCACCCTCGTCACACAGCCCTGGCTGGTCGGGAGGAGCTGGATGTGCCACCCCCTCAGCCCGTGGCTCTGAGGGAAGCAGCACCTCGGGGCTCAGTGCAAGTGCTGTATGTACACGGCTCCCCCACGGAAGCGCCAAGGCCCTCGGCACGCAGGGATCTAGGGAGGACTCTTCTGCCGCGGCACCTTCTCATTAAAGAATCACATTCCCCCAGTCATCCTGTTCCTGCTGTCTAAAGATATAAAGATCTTCTTTGAAGAATTGTTTTAAAAGCCAACCCTCCCCCCGGAACCCACGCGGAACACCGTAAATGTACAGATTAGAGACGTCCTAGAAAAGTCCTAAAATTATTGCAGAAACTAAAGATGACTCGTTCCAGGGGAGGGGCAGGCACGAGGCACAGCATCGAGATCTACCGAACCCTCGGGGCGGTTTGATTTAGTTTTCAGCTTTTCCCCCATCATTCAAGAAAACAAAAATAAAAAAAAAATTAAAGAAGTGTTTAAGCATCAGAACTAAAATACAAATGCACGTTGACTTATAAAACAAGATTGTGGATTTGACCATGGGGTTCCCTGACACTGGAAACATTTTACTTTTTTGCCCGGAGAGATTTCCTCATGGTGGATTTGCCCTTAGCAGAGGGTTTCACTTCCTTCCTCCCGCTGGCTGCTGGTTTCTTGGAAGAGCTGCCACCAGAGGGTTTCTTGATGGCTGGGGCTGCTGGTTTGGCTTTCTTAGCAGGGGTTTTAACCTTGGGAGGGGGCTTCGCTTTCCCCCGGCGGGCTGCGGGGGTTTTCCTTGGCTTGGGTTTGGACTCTCTTCGCTTCATTGGAGGGGCCCTGCTCCGGGATTTGGGAGGTGGCCTCTTCTGCATCCTGTCAGGAAGAGAGACAGCACAGGAGCTCAGTGGAGGTGTGAGGGTACCAGGAGCAGAGCTGCTGTCAGCAATTTGCATTAACGAGGCAGATCTTGGCACCCCTGTTCTTTGCCACGGCTGCTCCTCCCGCAGCAGCACGTTCCATGAGTTACATCCCAAACAACAAGAGCTCCTCCCGCAGCAGCACGTTCCATGAGCTACATCCCAAACAACAAGAGCTCCTCCCGCAGCAGCACGTTCCATGAGCTACATCCCAAACAACAAGAGCTCCTCCGGTAGCTCTCACCACGCTGAGCTCTTCCCATCCCCACAGAGCTCTGCCAGCAAGGCTTCCAGCCCCTTCCTTAGGCAAATAAACAAATAAATAATGACAGTGAATCAGTGAGCTGTCAGAACAATTAAGAGCCTTAAGCACTCCCTCTCCTCTCTAAATGGAATTTCATTACTTAATGAACAACACTCATCTTAAATCCACATTCTGAGTGAGGGCAGGTCTCATCTGGCTACAGAGCTGCAAATAATACTGTAGGGAAGAGTTTTCCTAAGGAAACACTTAGTAAATAGAAAAAGTCCCATGTAAAACATCACACTTTATAAAGCAGGGGACTAAAGGCAATATGAAGAATAAACACAAGAGGAAGAAAGAGGAAAGCTTCAAATTATGGAATGGGGGAGATCAGTATCTCTGGAGCAAGGAATAATTAGAAACTTCTTCCAACACCTGTGAGTAACAGCCCTGTGGATAAATGACCACACCAAGAGTCCCCTGAGCACTCTAGAGCTCTGACAGACACTTCTATTTCATCCAAAGGAGCCCACTCATCCCTCATGCTGCCATACCTCTTCTTTGGTGGGGGCTCTTCCTCCTCAGACTCTTCCTCTTCAGATTCTTCTTCCTCCTCAGATTCCTCCTCTTCTTCCTCATCAGATTCCTCGGAGTCCTCATCCTGCTGCTTCTCTGGGTAGAGCACATCTGGGCTACAAGAGGGGTCTGGTCAGAGTGTGATTTGTTTCTAAGGATACGACTCCAGGGTTGGCAGGCCTGGCTCTCATCTGACACAGCAGACTCCCCCTAAGGTTACAGCTTTGAGCCTAACCCAGAAATGCCCCCAGAATTCTGTGATTGCTGCTATCCCAAACCAACATTCCTCAGTCTCTGCAATGGCAGAAGCACAACAGCTCAGGAATGCCCCAGGCTTACACTGCCTCTGCTCTGGCTCTCTCCCTCATTTCTCCTTTGCTGCAAACCCAGGGGGACAGACAACAAAGGGGCAGGATCAGACTTCAGGGACTGAACGTGGGCTGAAGCTGTGAGGTCTCTGTGTGTGTGCAATAAAGGAAGGTGGGGAGTAGAGACTTTATTGACTATGCTGCCATTTGGCTCTTCCTGGGACACCAATGCCCATCCTGGTGCTCCACAGGGCCCAGCACAACATCAGCTCCCAGCAGGAGCAGAAGGGCTGGTTTAGGCTCACAGCAGCTAATCTAGGTCATGCTCCCTCCTCCCATTCCTCTCCCTTCAGGAAGGCTAACAGCTGGGTCCTGCTCCTTAGGAGCAGCCTTGCACTGAGAACCCACCCCACTCCCTGCTCAGGTGAGTCTGTTTTAGCACCAGAACACTTCAAGAGCCCCAGCCTGCAACAAAAGCATCAGGGCAGGCTACCTGAGAATACTGAGCCCAGCATTTTTACTGCCCTTAAAAGCTTCCCTTGCTAATGAAATCAGCTTTATGCTCACCCACAGTCAGACACCCAAGCAATGTCATTATCCAGAGTAAGGGTGACAATTTGGCAGTTCATCAGTTACTAAACCCCCCACAGCTTCCCTGTAAATAGAAGGTTGGCTCAGGAACCTCAGCTCTGCCACCTGATCTGTGCAACACTTCTCTTGAACATCATTTTACAGCCAAGCTCTTTACCTGGGATAATAAGGGAAGCAAAGCTGAAAGGTTCCACTGAAGCCCTTGCCAGAAATTTGCTCCATCCAGCCATTCTTCTCACATTTCTGCAGGGTTCTCTTCAGTAGATGCACTGTGAAAGAGAAAAGAAATCAGAGAAAGACTGTTACTATCTTTGTCCTCTTGTCTGACTTCACTGCTCTCTGCAGTGCCCTCTGAAAGCAGAGCTGGAGTCAGGATGGGAAATCCTCTCACAGTCGATTTTCAAGTAAGATACAAGTGTTTGTTCTTGAGCACGTGGCAAGTGTAGCTCTACATTCTCGAGGGAAGAAGTCAAGAATGGTGCATGTTTCTGATGTCATGATCAAGAGATGCTCCTTCAAATGCATTCAGCAGCACCATGTAACTACTTCTGTCCAAATTTAACCCAGGTCTCAGCTTTCTTCACCCTGTCCTCCAAAGAGTTTTTTTGAAACAAGCCTTTTTCCCTGTTTTTCCCTCCTCATGTTCTGAATGTCATGTGTGCTGCATCCTTCCCTGTTCTGTGGTTTGCTTTTTGTTTTGTTTTTTAAGGGGTAAAATATTTGGTCTAGAAATACAACAAATGCACTTTTTATTCCAGTCTGTCATTCCAGACTTTTGTTTCAGCCATTCCATTGTGCACTGTGTAAAAATTGTAACTCAAACAGTAAGTACAGGGGATCTTTGTCTGTGGCAAAGGGCTGAGGTTGTTTAGTCAGTTCAGAACCATTTCCAGCTTGAATTAGAGGGGCCATTTATATATTGAGCTCCCTCCAAACCCAGGGAAAAGCGAGGTCTGCCCTCAAGCACGTTCCAAAGAGGTTTATGGTTATAACCACAAGGCTGGTTTTACTCTGGGTACCAAAGATCAACAGCAGCATGTAAAGGATTTGACTCCAGTCAAGTCCAGTTATAAGATGAGGTATAAACTGGGGAGGAGAGCTGAGCTCTGGCTCTGCTTTCTCATCTCATCAGATCTTCCTCCAGTTGCTCTCAGAACAAAGCAGAGATCATCAAAATTCCTTTTACGTAACGGAAGGAGAAAGAAAACAACAGATTGCAGCTGAGATTTCTTTATCTGCCTTGCAGGAGTGACAAGCAGTGGAGGCTGGCTCAGCGCAGCCCTCTAAGGACCAGGGACATTTCCATTCCAGGAAGGTTTATTTCACTTAGGAAGCCTGCAAGCTCTTTTCCCTGCCCCAAGATTAAGAAGTCACAGTAGACATCAGTCTCTAATTGGCAGAAGGCCTCAGGCAACTTCTTTAGCCCTGGAAGGTGTGCTGTGTATCAGTAAGCCCTGCACCAAACAGCTGTGCTGATGCTGTGCTTCAGCTCCAAGTGCAGAGGGCAGGATCAGCAATCTCCTCTCCAGCCCCTTGTCCTGAGTACTGGCACCAGCTCTGTGACACCACAGGAACAAACTGATCTACCTTCAGGTTTGACTCGAGGAGAGACTGCTGGGACCTCAGCCTGCTTCAGCTGACCTCCAACTGCATCAGGGCTCAGCCCAAATTACCCAAATAAGCCATTCCAAGATCTGCTTTAAAGGCTCTGATAGCACTGCTTCTGCTAAAGCAAAAGTCAAACCAGACATTAGTGTTGCTCCTGGGAACAAAGACATGCCAAACCTCCTCCCAAATACAACAGGATTAATTTCTCTCCTCATCTGCTTGACCTTTAAAAATCAAAGCCAAACAAGGAACCTCAAACAAATCAGTAAGAGGAGTGCTTAGGAATTTTTTTAGAAGTCAGACTATGCAACTTCTCTAAATAAAAAGCAATTAGGAACTGCATTGATACCAAGCTGTTGCCTTTCAAAACAGAGAGAGACAGATGAAATCCACTTGGTGATTTAAGAACAATAAAGTACTTGAATACTATTCCCCCTTCCTGGCTACAGACAAGAGAATCATGCATTCTGTCTCAGAAACTGGCCTTTGTCCGGCTTGAAAGGGACTGATGGGAATTAAAACCACTGAGCATCTCTGCAGCACAAAGAGCTGAGCAGCTGCAGCTCCCTGCAAGCTTGATGGAATAGTTTAAAGGTGCTGCACAGGCACATCTGCAGCTGCAGGACTCTCCCTCTCAGCACATCCAAGTGTTACATGGATGGGTACTTTACCCTGGAAGTTGGAGTTGGTCCCTGGGTAATTTTCCAGGATATACTTCTTCAGCGCTGTGGTGGAGCAGGTCTTCGGTTCGTTCATGGCCACAATAGCAGACAGGATGGCGTCTTCCATCAGAGTCCCACCCAGCAGGGGCTTCTCCCCTGATTTCTTCAGCTATTTTCCAAGGAGGAAGAGAAAAGCATCAAGACAAAATTCTCCCAAACCAGGTCAGGACAACTCCTCTGCACCAGGTGGGTCGGCGCTCCTGCATTAGCACAGATACGTTTAATATTAAAACACTGCACAGGGAACGCTGCTCTCCCAGCTTTAAGTGGGAGGCCAGGCCTAGTCAGTCAGCTGGCCTGGGGGGCTTATCAGCAACACCTCATCCCAGTCCCCAAACACACTGCAAGTCTAAGGGCCTATCGCTCAGGGGAGGGAATAAAGCAAAACAAATCACATCATCCTCCATCCCACGGACCAAATGTACCCAAGGACTTCTGTGGCACAGACGTAAAAGACACAGCAGGCATCTGGGGTACCTGCTGCACTTCCAGTGAGGGATGGAAAGGAAGGCTTACCCCCCCAGCTCCCTACTGTGCTGGTGAGTCAGAGCTGAGGCAGCGTGTACAGCACGCTCAGCAAGGAAACGGGGGGTCTGCTCCTGAAATGGAGACCAAGAGGAGACCAAGAGTCCTACTGCTTCAGAGTTGGACAAGTCCTGAACGTGCCAGGCTGCTGGAGAAAGGGGTACCCAGTGATGGGGGGACAGGGCGCAGTCACTGACATCCAAGGCTTGTGGTCAACAGAAGAGGAACTCAGTCTCTGACCTGGAATGTCCCAGACGCTCCTTTCCCTGTGATCTGCTCTAACTGGCCCTTCTCTACAGCTCTCTGCAGGGCATTCTTCAACAGCTGGGGCCTGAAACGCAGGAGGAGAAAGCTTTACTGACACACACTGACAGCTTCAAAAACAAACAGAGAGACAACAGTTTGCAGAGTGTGAGCAGAGCAGCGCTTACCGTGCTGTCTGCCCACATCCAGACACGTTAAATGGAGACCTGTCAGCGGGCTCACGACATGGAACACGGCAGTGCTCGGGAGCTGAGCTGCGGCGCCTGCTCGGTGCCACAGCCAGGAACAGGCACCTGCCCTGGGCAGGATTCCCTCCCTTGGAACAGCACACCTGGATGTGGTGGGCAGTCAGTCTGCTCACGGGTAACCAAGGGGCTGACACAAGCCCCTGCTAGAGGGGACACAAGGGGTTCTCTTAGTTTTGCTTCCCAAGCCTCAACTCGCTCCCTAGAGGCAAACTGCGAGATTACTGGACACGTGTGCCAGCTGAAGCATCCAGAACCAAGTGGGATGAGATCCTGAGCAGAGGCCTTCACATCCCTACAGCTAAGGGGATGTGGTTTTGGCCAAGGTGTGCAGAGCAGCACTGCTGTCAGTGCCAGGAACAAAGACTGGGCGTGGAGGGATGCAGGAAAAGGCACCGCTTTTCCTCAAGCTTTCCACAGGCTCTGCAACTCAGAGCAGCACCTGGCTGCCTAAATACAGGACTGAATCACCACGAAGGGAGGCAGAGCCAGAGGAAGGCTGAGTTTCCCTGCTCCTCTGCTTGCTAAAGGACTCCAGCACCTACCTTACATCTACTTTGAGTTTGGGGTAATACTGAGACACGTATTTCTTGATCAGGCTGTAAGAAGCTTCCTTGGGCTCGCACAGGCGGGTGAAGGCCAGGGGCAGGACGTCCTCCAGCTTCACCTGCTGCTCTGCAGTCGGGGCGGAGGTGCTTTTCTGAAACACACACACTTTAACACATCAGTGAGGCCCAAAACTCTGCATTTCTGCACCAGCAATGCGCAGGTGGGGAGAAGTGCTCCTGACCATGGCCACAGAGCTGGAAAACCAGGTGCTGTAAGGCAGCTCTCTAAATTAACAACTTTAAAACTTTAAGTAAAATGGAGCAAATTTGGCTGAATTTTCATAGGAGTCTTAGGAAAACTTTACAAATACAAATTGCTGAGTATTTCACATATTTTTAACTATTTCCTTCCTCTTTCTATAGAAATTTTTCCTCTGCTACCCTTCAATGAGACAGGAGAAAAATCATAGAATCACAGAATCATTAAGCTTGGAAAGGACCTTTAAAATCATTGAGTCCAACTGTTCCCCCCACACTGCCAGGGCCACCAACTAAACATGTCCCAAGGGCCACATCCACACATTCCTCGAACACTTCCAGGGATGGTGATTCCACCACTGCCCTGGGCAGCCTGTTCCAGTGCTTTACAACCCTTTCTGACATGAAAATTAAAACCCATCAAAGGCAGGACCCATTTACACAGATCAAATCTTCCCCAAAATGAGCAGCTAAACACGAGTCCATTTTTTTTGAGATAACACAATAAGAGCTTGATTGAAGCCAACGCTCCCTTCTAAGTTTTCCTCCATCCCTTTTGTTACAATGAGAGAGGATGATCAGGAAAAAAAGGTCTACTCTTTATAGAGAAAATGTGCTGAAGTTCGGTGATTTGATGCTGAACAGCAGCTCTGCAAACAGTTCAGTGAGTGAGGGAGTTGCTCCCCAGCCAGCTGAATTCACCAAAAACATTTGTTTTGCTGCCACACAGAGAAAGGAACTACAAAGACACCAATAAGCTGCACAGAGAAGTGATGTGTCAGCAGGTATCAGGTGCCTTGCTCACACTTCTCACGGGGCCAGTGGCCTCTTTTTAAAGAGCTACAATGCAATTACCTTCCTTCAGTGCCCTACACCAAGTGTGTGACCATTTCCCTCAGTTTTAGGGCTCCTGGTCTCCCTGGGAGGTAAGAGAGGAGCACCAAGGCGTTACCTGTCTAAGTTCACCTGTCTAAGGCCCCTGGGGATTGGCAATTCCAGCTAAGGATTTTGTAACTGCAGCGTTAGGAATGTGTCTCACACACCCAGCACAGCACAGAGTGGAGAACAGCAGTGCTGGAACCGTGACTAACTCAAAAAACCAGCCCCATCACATTTGACTGCCTCAGAACAACACCCAACATCAGCAAGTTTCTTCCAGCAGCTTTAGGATTTTTTCTTCTTCCTCCCTCTGCCCTCACAGCTCACGGAAAAACGTTCACCTGGCAGTCCTGAAGACTGGAGTGCTCCCTTTATCCACACAACAGATAGAACAGACACAGCAGTAGCATAAAGCTCTCTTACAATACCTGAGAGGCATCTCTCTCTACCAGGTAAAGACAGAGGAGGAGCTTCATGGTTATTCAGTTTTCTGCCTCTGAACCAAAGCCTAGGGGTTTAATGTAAACATTTTAAAACTAAGAATTTGATTATTCAACTTGGTTTTCAGTTCTCATAGTAGCTTTCTGATTCTGAGTGAGTGGGAAGGGTGTTTTAATTACTGTGCTTGGGGAGGAAAAGCACAGCAAGGAGAAGAACGCTCTTTGTGTAGGGGTTAGGTACATTTCATAAGGTACATGTGTTTCAGTGCAAGATTTTTCAGAGTATGGTTTAAAATGGTCCATCTTACCTTTCTGTCTCTGGCTTTTGGAACAGTTTTTCCTGCATTAGACACCACCACAAAGCTCCCAGAAGCTCCCTTTCCTTTCACCTGGTTCAAAAGAAAGTCCATTTCAGGGTAACTCAGAACAATAACAACTTGAGAGGGACTCACTGATATCATGACACAGATTTTGAATGTACTGTCACCCTGGCGATGGCAGAGGCCTGATTTGAACCCACTGAAACTTCAGTAAGATCAGAAGCTGCAGCCAGACATTAATACAGACTCTGCTGTCCTGAGCAGGAGATCCTGGCAGATAACACAGGCATAAATTACAGTGTTAGAAACCCACGCTGCTGCAGAAGTGCCACTGCTGGACTCACGTGCTGCTGCAATGCTGTGACACAACCCCCAGAAACGGTCAGGAATTGCACAAAAACCAACTGTGCAAAGTAGCTGAGTGACAAAACAGTGCTGAAGTTCTGTCAGGGTCTAATAAAGTGGAGACAGAGGCTCATTAACCTCCACGAGGGAGAACACAGTCAACCCAGAGACCTGCTAATGGAGTTAAGAAACTCCTGTGTAAGTCACGGGATCATGGACTGGTTTGGGTTGGAAGGGACCTTAAAGCTCATCCCATCCTACCCCCTGCCACAGGCAGGGACACCTTCTACTAGTGAAAGTTGCTCCAAGCCCCATCCAACCTGCCTTGGACACTTCCAGGGCTGGGGCAGCCACAGCTTCTCTGGGCAAACTGTGCCAGGGCCTCCCCACCCTCACAGGGAAGGATTGTTCACTCATATCCGACCTGAACCTACTCTCTGTCAGTTTGAAGTCATTCCCCTTGTCCTGTCACCAGAGGCCCTTGTAAGAAGTCTCCCTTCAGTGTTGCTACCTCCAGTGCTGCTCCACAAAGCAGCTCTTACCTGCCTAATGATCCCCCTCTCCAGCTCCCTTTTCAGTGCTTGCTTCAGGAGGTACCCTCTCCTCTCCAGCTCCAGGGAAGGGTATTTGTGGATGATGTATTTCCTTATTGCAACGACCGAGGCACCACTCTTCTGAAAGCAGGCCTGAAACAGAAAAAAAACATGGGTAGAAACCACCTGCACTGGAACAGTCCTGAGTGGGGCTGGAAGAACAGAGTCTGGACTGAGGCACAGGGTGCCAGGGCTGGCCTCTTCCCCACAATGACTCAAGAGCTTAAAAGGACTAATAAAATACTTAACTTTTGCCTTCAAAAGGAGAGCTGCAGCACAACTACAACAGCACAGGAGGGATACAGTAAAGCAACAAACACCACTTTGGAATGCAGGTTTACAGTATCTCCTTCTGTCCTGAATCAGACTAAGGTAATGATAAAGAAAGAACACGTATCAAATAGATGTCTTAATCAAGATAAAGGAAGTCAAATGCATCTAGAAGGCACAGCAAGCCACTGATGACAGCAATCCACCAGGTTATGCCATCCTGACTGTTTCTCATAATGTAATTAGGGAGGGAAATGAATTCTAAACCAAGAAATCAGCTACAGGGCCCTTCATCATCCTCAAGGACTCACATTTCAGCTCCATGGGCTGCCAGGCAGAAGCACACACACCTTACACACCAGCTTTGCTGCTGACAGACGGCACTACCACCTGTACCTCAGCAAGCTGAAATGGTGCATTTTAGGCACACACATTGTTCTGCTTTGCAACAGACGAACCAAAGACACACTTGTCTCCTGCTCACCCTGATGGCCTCGGTTAAAATGGCATCCATTTTGGGCCGGGAGGTGGCTGCCATCTGGGTCTGCTTCTGTGCCCGGGCGAGCTGGCTGGCAGAGAGCGTGGCCCACGCAGGGATGGTCTTCTTCACCTTCTTCTCCTTCTCCTTGGACTGATCCTTCTCGCTTGGGAATTGTACAGAGCAACGGTAAGACAAGAGGCACTAAAACAAAGCCAACGAGCAGAAGAACAAAACAGAAAAACCCCACAGCCCAGAACATCTGACATTGTTTAAATTAAAATAACTTATAGAATATTTTGAGGTTTCTGTGAGTAAAAGAGAGCCTGTCTCGATATTCAGCCTCACGTGTGTTCTGGAACAGCAGCTACATATGATCAGTAGCTTCTTCCTGACAAATATGAGCTCCTTAAGGGACTCTTCCCATTTCCCCCATCTCTCCCACCACCCTTTCTCTCTCTAAACCCTGACTCCCTTCAGAATCCCACCCAATTCCCTGAATTCAGCATCAAGCAAGCCTTACTCCTTTTTGGTTTCTTCTGAGGACTTTGTTTCCCCCTTCCCTTCATTCTCAGGTTCCTTTGGCTGTTCTGCTTCATTGGATGCAGCAGGCAGGGTTTCAGTCTCTTGTTCCTCTCCAACAGAGGCAGATTCCTCAGAGGTGACTTCTGCATCTAAAAGATGTGAAAAAGCATCAAGTTACTGCCCAAAACTAGCTTCTATTCTTCAGGAATGTAAAGGGGGAAAAAAAAAGGCTTAAAACACAACCCCAAAATTATTTCCCACTGATTTCTTTTCTCTAATTTAAATAGATGATTTCAATGTAACTTAAAAAGTGAAGAAAACTACTGAAAAAAGCTTCAATAAAGTGCAATCAACCCCCACATGCCAGAAAAACTGCAAACAACATCATGTAGCATTTTCACAATGAACCAATTCCCCCAGTGTTCTCTTCTTAACTCCAGGAGTTGCTGTTGCAGTTGTCCCTCAGCAGAGAGGCCTGGGAGGGGAAGGGGGGAGGAAACCACTGCCATGAAACACTGAGATTCTACCACTAGTTTGAGCACTAAGTGTTTTTAACTCAGGAAGGTGAAAAATATACATCTCTACAGGAAATGTAGACAGACACACACAGGTACTGGCACAGGTCCAGAGAAGCTGTGGCTGCCCCATCCCTGGAAGTGTCCAAGGCCAGGTTGGACGGGGCTTGGAGCAACCTGGGCTGGTGGGAGGTGTCCCTGCCCGTGGCAGGGGGTGGGATGGGATGGGCTTTAAGGGCCCTGCCAACCTAAACCAGTCTGGGATTCAACAAAGTAGCTTTGTTTATGACCAAGTTGTTTTCAAACCCAGAAGCGCTTGAAGGGTATTTACCATCCCATCCCATTTGTCCAGGCTTGGAATGCTGTAGATTGCACATGCCCTGGCAGGAACACTCGTGTATCAGAAGAATCAAATCCAGTCAGAAATCAACTTAGCAAATATATATTTAGCTGAGAACAGGCCTTAGAGGCTGGGCTGCCTACTAGATAAGATGAATATAACCCAAAATTCCACACATTTTGGATAAAGAGCTGCCCACCATCACTGCTCTGTGCAGCTCAAGAATTCCTGGTACGTTCCTGCACAGTTTTCCCACGGGGGCATTTAAAATGCACAGTGAATTAAGAGAAGGTTTCGTATGTAATTCAGTTAATTGTGACACCAAAGAGGACAAAGCCAGCGAAACCAACTGTAATAGTGAAATGACACATTCTGAGACACTGAGGTGAAGCTGCTCAGCCCAGACACGTTAACATCAGACTGGATTTTATGACACATTGTGGTAAAATGTTTTTGTTCAGAAAAACAAAGAAAAAAATTAAATGCTTTGTTTTTCTATTCATTAACTCTACCTTTTGATCTCAAGCCATCATCCTGACACTACTGAAACTTCACAATTTCTTTACTCTAAAAGATGTGCAAGCTTAAAAGGGACTATATTTAGCCAGATTTTCATGTCTGGAGTGTCAGGACTTTGCCAAGGGGCATGAAAGACAAAACAAACGGGTTCAGGCTGAAAACAGTGTCTGCAAAACACAACTTCCCAATAATCCTGGAAAAGCCTGTGACAAGGAGCCAAGCATTAGCGATATTTTAATCTTGGCAATAGGGTTTTTCAGGAGCTTCAGAACACAAACCTGTGATTGGATGTGCTTTAACAACCCGCTATTGACCTGTTCCATACCTGCTTTGACCTCTTCCCCCTCGGCAGGTTTGCTCTTGGGAGGAGTTTCCCGGGAAGTGGAGTTCACGGAGCGGCGGATTGGCATCGTGTCGTCTTCGACTTTCTACAAAAAGCACATGAAAATCACTACAGATGCTGGGAAGAATCAGAGAGGTTTGAAATGGGATTAAAGCAAATCAAAGCAGCATAGGTAGAAATGTTCTGGTTTGGATTTTTCAGGATGTTAAAGCACAGTAACCCTCAAACCAGCTTCTTCAAAGCGTACTAGGAGAGGATAGATTCGTATTTTATGGTTATAAAAGAAGTAATTTCAATTCCAAATTAAATGAGAGATGAGGATTTTGAGAGATACATCATCTCAGGAAAGCAGGGGAGGGGACGCAGAGTTTGTTAGACTCCCAGTCGAGTTTCCTGGAAGCAGGGGAGAAAGAGTACTGAGTAACCTTCAGCAGGCCTGGAAGTCAAGGACTGATCCAAGGGCAAGCTTGGAGAAAGGGCCAGCCCCTACCTCACTTAACTTGTCCGTGTGGATCAGCTGAGCTCCCGTTAAGAGTGGAAGCGCCTTATGATGCACGGGTTCAGCTTCAGACAGATCAGTCGCCATTTAAATTAATTTCTAGCCCCAACACTGTGGAGCCCCAGGTTTTAACCCCAAGGAACTTTTTCCTAATGGTTTTCACAGTGCAGTGAGGAGTCAACCTAAAGTACAGAAAAGATGTGGTGTGAAAATTAACAAAACAAAAACATCTATGTCCACGTATCTATCAAACTAAAGATTAAAAAGAAAAGGGTAAATGATTTACAGCTCGTGACTAACACAACTGACAAGCAACACTTGCATTCAACAGAGGGGCTAAAACGTGGATGGGAACTGCAGAGCTATGGATGGAGCAGAACTGGGGAAGGTGCAAGCCAGACCTGCTCCGTTAAAACATGGCTGAAAATTAAAAAGGCTCTTTAAATTCAGGGCAGGCGTTAGCAAAAAGCAGCCGTTGCACTGTGGCCCTCGGTGACGTTGGGTGAGAGCAGGAGCTGACACACAGAGCAAGGAATTAAACCATTCAGTCTGTTGGGCAGGAAACACAAACACTGGGGATCCAAACCATGCCCCCACCCCAAATTAAACCCCATGCATTTAAAGAAAAGAAGGAGTCTTTTGATAAGAAAGATAACAAACCAGCATTTTCCATGCTTTCCACCAAAAAAGGTAAGCTTTCCAAAACTCTGCTCCAAGCACACACACTGCCATGGATGCCAAACAGGTTAAGCTTAGTTTAACCCTCACCAAGGCTCACTCCTTACTACTGTTACACTTTTACAGCCTTTCTTACCTGTTGCCCACCTGCCTGCACTGGCCCCTCCTATGGAGAGGGGCTCCACTGCTTCCATCACAGAACAGGGCTCATCCCAAGACAGGCTCGTTCAGTTCCTCTCAGCACCCCTTTCAAACCCCCCAGAAGCAAAGCCTCACCTCCAGCAAACCAGGGCTGGACCCATCCTCCCCAGTTCCAGCCTCCAGCCTGTGTGCTTCCCTTCCTTACACAGAACAGCCAAATGCTCCCATTTCCCTCTCTTCTGGGTGGGTTTTTGCTCAGAAGGCAGGCACTTTCCACACATTTTCACTTTTAATAAGTATCTTCCCCAACCTGAGTGTTTTCCTCTTGAACAGAGACCCACCATCACTGCCAGCCCTGCTTTCAAGATGACTTTCAGCACTTTTTCAGCACTTAGCACTGCTCTCCCCATTGCCCTGTACCACACCAACACCAATTCTTGCCCAAAACAGAGTCCTCTCATTTTCCAGCACTGGGGATTCCTAATCAGAAGCACTTCTGACAGGAGCTGAACAGTCACTCTGAAAAACCACGGACTTGTCTCAGCACCAGGGAAAGCAAAGCCCAGCAGCACCGGATGTTTTCTTCTGAGACAAAACAGAAAGAATCAAAACACACCACATGCCAAAACCCCCAAAAAAAAAAAAAAAAAGAGATGAATGAAGCTTTCCTGTGAAATGTCAGGATGGGAAAAAATACTAATGGTCAATTAGAACATATGAACTACAGCCCAGCACCTTTTTGGCCTGTTTTAAGGAATAATCCTTCCTTAAGAGTGGAAAGTGGGAGGAAAAATTAAATTTTTCACCAGGTTTCAGCTCAATATCCAATGTTTTTTCAGGCACGCAGAGCCTGAAGTCCTTTAAAAAAATGACAACATTTTGAAATGACTCCTAAAACAAACAACTCCAAATCCCTCCTCAGGGAAATCAGTTGGGGGATACAAAAGGCACATTCCCTGGGATGACACACACACAAGCCACACTGTGGCTGCCCTGGTCCTGGGTTTTCTTTATTTTTGAACTGTGTGACCTGCATGGCACATGCATGAAAACACAATACTCTCAACTTTGACTTAAAATTGCCTGAGTTCTAAAAATCTCTTTGTTTAGATCAGTGTACAAACCATTTGAGCCTTTTTGCTCTGAAGAATAAAACTTAACACAGCACAACTCCTCCCTTCTGTGCCTACAACGCAGGCAAATAAGGCAGAATCCAGCAGAAATCGTTGATTCCCTCTGCATGGATCATCATCTCCTGCTCAAAAGGGAATCAAGGGGGCAGGAGGATAATCTCCTCCTGACTTCAAAGCACTGAGAGTCTCCAGGGGCAAAGTCACAAGCCCCACCTTGTGAGAGCATCTCACTGCACCTGCTCAGCCCCTTTCTTTCCACACAGGGATCAAAAGTCGTTTTTCTGCACTGGGTGTGAAATATCAATCACAAACAGGCCTGAATTTAGTCCCTCAAAAAGATGAAGCAAAAAACTAGGTAGCTTTGCAAGAGCAATGCAAGAAAACTGACTCCCCCCTCCAAATAAAATAGATTCATTTAACAGAAAAATCAAGTCGCACAAAACATCACCTGATCACTCTATTCCAAAAGACAGCTCTAAACAGGAACCACAGTTACAATCACAAGCATCATGAACACTTAAATCTGGTCTGCTCAGAAAAATAAAATCACATCAGCAATGAAACAACCAGCAGGACTCACACTAGCACAGAAAGTTACTCCTCACACAGCTACTCACACCCATTTTCCTAAAGGTCCTTTGAACTGCAGGTTCACAGGTTCCCAAACTAAGATGAACTAGTCATTCCAAAGCTGGTAATGCAGCAGGGAGCTGATAAGCAACAAAAACCCCCAAATTTCTGGTTTTCTGGAATGTGTCCAGTCTCCCAGCTCAGGGAACGTCCACTAATGGAAGATCCAAAGGCACAGAGAGCTTTCCAGGAACTGTTATGAAAAACTATAGCAATTCTCTCCTGAGTTATCAGCACATTGTCAGAGCAAAAAGAGAGGCTTCAAATGAGACACATTTTGGATAATATTTCAGAAGTGTGGAGTCCCCCCCCAGTGTAACAGACACAAGAACATTAAAAAAAAAATTAATTTGAGGCATAGTTTGGCCGAGTCCTTGAATTTCTGCTGGTCATGAGATTTTTCAACTTATCTCAGCCTTCAGTCTCCCTTCAAGGGAAAAGGTTTTGGGATAAATTAGGTTTGGAACATGGCAATCCAAGTGTGAGGCTGCTGGAAACACCAAGTCACAGGGACTCGGGGTAGGGTGAGCAGGCTGAAAGCAAATATGCAATGGAAAAATGAGGAAGCACGTCCAGCCCTGAGCTGGGGGGTGTCCCCTTACTGTCACATGACACAAATGGGTGACTGATGCACTTAGATGGGACTGGCATAAAGTACATGATCCCTGTCTAGAAATGGGGTCAAAAAGGGGTAAAACCAGTTTTTATGCACTTGCAGGGTGTCAAGGGATACAAACCCAACAACCTTAGAAGCAGTGCAAGCAAGAACAACTGGTTATCATCAGAAAGGCTTAAAAAGTGAAGTAAAACTGGATTTAAAAAACAGGCTATTGATTACTGTGCAATTGTTTACTACTCTATAAAGCTGAAGAGCATTTAAACGTCTCAGAAACCACTAAAAAAGGCACAGGAAATGTTAATATTTTTGTAAATCCAAATCAAACAAGCCCAAACCCATCACTTTCTAAACTCTTTCAAGGCTTTTGGCCCCCTGAAATCCCCCAAGCTCGTCCCCAAAAACCCAGCCCTGGTAGCAGATACTTTCCCCCAGCCCTCAGTATCTCATGGTCACAGTGTATATCCAGGAACACCTTGGATACAAACGTGTTTCACAAAATGTATCTGTCAGGAGTTAGCTGATGCTGTCACCGGCTGCTTCCCTGAGCTGTTCCAGCACTCATTGCTCTGCCTTTGGCTTTTCCAGCTTACTGAGCTGGACTTGGTTAAGTCAGGTCAGGAGTATTTAGTCATTTAAACCAGTCTAAAATTGTGCAAGGGAATAAAATACGCTACTGGATACAAAACACAAGTTAGTCCCCATTTCTGATCCTTGTTTGGCAACCTGCTCGGAAACTCCCTCCCATGTGGCCGAGCACAGCTGGCATTCCCACCTCTTCTGCTGCCATTCACCCAGTTTTATCCCCATCCTTGGGGCCACTGATTTCCCGGGACGTGTCCCAGCTGCCCAGACTTTGCAGCTGATTCAGCTCCAAGGGCTGTGTTTGCAGCTCTCCTGTGGTGGAGGCTCCCAGGGATCTGTTCCAGGCTACCTGAGCTGCTGCAAAAAGCAGCTTGTTCCAATTAAACGGGAATAGTGGTCCAGGACACGGATCCAAGAGCTCCGAGGCAACACATTCCTTGGGCTGACTGTGGTACAGTGTCCATTTCCATCCACTCCTTCCCTACATGGGGTAATGGGGGGAACAACAAACCCCACGTACATCAGGGTTCAGGAGAGCACAGAGAAAATTCCTCATGCTTCCAGTGTCCAAACACAGGAATTCCTACACTCAGAGACCCAAAGGAGAGTTTTTCTAAGCATAAAGATCTATTTCCATTTGACAGTACTTTCATTCTGGGTTGAATCTGGGTGTCATGGGTTTACTAGCCCCCCTGGGGGCCCATGACACTGGGCCTCTGGCTCCAAATGCTGTGAATGCAACCGGACTCACACCTTACCTGTCCTGATTTTTACAGAGCACAGCACAAACTGAACCCTGCCCTTCTGTGCACACAGATGCTGTTTTCACTGGGAAAAAAAAAAAAAAGAAAAGAAGAAAAGGAAAAGGAAAAAAAAAAGAAAAAAAAAGGCACACAGTGAGACTGATGCTCCCACTCAGGGCTGAGCTCAGCACCTCGTCCCTGAGAGGGACACCACCCACCCCAAGCCAGCTCAATCTGCAAAGAAGTTTATTAAAACAGAAGTAAATTCCTGCCCCCCCTCCACTCTTCACCCCAGCTCAGTATAAAACCACTCCAGGTTACAGATTCTCTCCCATCACTCTGTGACCTACACAGAAGGCACTAACAGCAGATCGTCTCCGTGGCCTGGATTATCCTCTGTTCCTGTATCCAAGAGTTTCTCCTCGTGTCCCCACACACAGGGTCACAGCCAGTGTGAACCCTAAATTACACCACCAGCACACCCAGAAACTCTCCCAAAAACTTCAGCCAAGGGATTAATGAAGCAGAATTTCTGCTTGCACGGCTGTCTTAAAATAGTCTCTGCACTGATGCTCAGGGTTGTGACAGTGACAGTCGCTGTGGGACAAGAGTTTTAAACAGTTTTTGGCTAAAATGATCCTTGATCCAGATTCTCCACAGGCTGCCACCGCCACAAGCAGCTGAGGGATGAAATCACCCCCATTAGAGTGCACAGGGTTCAGCTTCAGTTTAAAACAAGTTTAGGTCACAAACTTTAAACTACTCCAACATGAAAATCTCCTGCTGAAAGTTGCATAGCCTTGGATAAAATACCTTCATTCAGGATGCAGCTTTATGAATTTTGACAAACTGCTGACAATTGAATGCAAATTTAGGCTGCAAATGTTACATCTGAACCTTTTACAGGCCATCTCCTCCTTGTCTAGATAGATTAAACCTAAAACCACTGTATAAACCCTCCTCCCAAACTGTTACTCAGCCACCACTTATTATCCTACAGACAAAACTATACATGATAAAAGCCATTATTTCCTCGCAGTCTGTATAAATCTACCCACACCTTACATTAGAGTCCATCAATGTAAAACTTTTATTTCCTCTCAAAGAAGTTAAAATCCTCAGAGGACCTCAGGTCACTTGTAACAAAGCACTGCCAAAAGATTTACACATCACTCTCTGCTGAAAAGGAAAATACAAGAGGAAAAAACATTCTGGACAAAAATAATTTAATGAGCTTCTACGTGAGGAATGTGAATGATGCATTGAGGAGATAATTTAGCACACAGCTAAAGGGGAAAAAGCTGCAAAAGCCACTTTCTTTAAAGCATTTACTCCTCAAAAGAAATTATGGGTATTTCCTACCCCCATTCATTCCTGATTTCCAAGGATCTCCCCCTCTATCCACCAATTTCTTTGAGTCCCACCTGAGGAAGGTCAGTGCTCTCCTGCCTGGTCCATCAACCACCTCAGTTCTTGAACTGAACTCATCTCCCTCTCCTCTCACTCCCCTCGTGGAGGAGTGACAATTTTTATAAACACGAGCACTTCCGATCCTTTTCCTCCTCAATGGGACCTGCCTGCCAAAGTCTGCTGGCCAACTCTTTCTTGAAGATGCTAAAAATACTATTTATGGTCAAAACAAACAAAAGTCATGTGTTGGGAAAAAGAGTGCAACTCTTACTCAATAGTTAGATAAGAACTGGGAAGTGACACACTTGTTAACCCAGAGATAATTCGGTAACGCTCCTGAAAAGTGAGAAATACTTGAGTATCTGTGAAATACCACAGATAGAAACAAACTACCCAAACTATCAGTCTCTGCTACACTGTATACAGGAGCGAACACACCCACAACCCCACATCGGCCAGCTTGTCCTCTCCTCCAGTACGGGCTGAGTGGTTTGCAGACACTGGTGAATGGGGAAATAGTTAAAATACAGGTGAGAAGGATTTGTTCAGAGCAGTGTCCCTGGTCTGGAGCTGCCCCCAGGTGAAGCAGGTAAGCCGAGATTTTGGTAGCTGCTCCTTCTCTCCTTAAACCTTTGTGATGTTTTAGGCCAAAATAATCACAGCGCAGAGTGTCGATAGGGATAATGATTGGGAATGGGAGCCTGTCTGGAACAGCCCCGTTCCCGAGTGGACTTTAACAGCCTTCTCTATGCAGAGCCTGTGCACTAAGGGGAGGAGGGTCATTAACATTCTTTACCCAGGCTGTGGCCACCTGGGCTCAGGGAGGCTCTCGGCAGTGCCTGGGAGCCTCACACAGGTCTGCAGCCTCACACCCTGTAACCGCCGAGGGGTATTAGGGACCTCTTTTTAGGAAGCGCAGCCAGACAGAGGTTTCCCTCGAGCGGCGGCACTTCTCGGAAGCGACTTTGTGCAGGAAAAACACCCAAACACCCGCACGGCCAAAGCGGCCGGGAGGCGGGAAGGCCAAGGCGCTGCCCAAGTTTATAAATAGCGATTATTTGTTGTGTCGCGGCCCTGTCGGCCCCTTCCGCCGCTGACCTTCCCGAGGGCCCGCGCGGTGCCGGCGGAGGGGCAGCGGCGGCTCTGAGGCCGCTCGGGCCCCGCAGCTCCTTTGTGAGGCCCCGCCAGGCCCTGCGACACCCGGGGCCGCCCCTCGGGCCTGCGCCGGGCCGAGCCCCCCCGCGGCACCGCGCCCCGCCCGCGCCGCCTGTCGCGACACCCCGTCACGACACCCCCGCTGCCTCGGGCCTGTCAGGGCGCGGGGGAGGGGGGCTGAGGGCAGTTCCGGGGCCCCTCCGGCGGCGCCGCCAGGCCGCCCCCGCGCCTCGCGCGCACCACCCGCGGCGTCCCGGTGGCGGCCCCGATGTCGCGGCCGGCGCGGGGCCGGGGGCGGGCGGGGCCGGGACTCACCGGGCCCGGCGGACACAAAGCGGCGGCGCCTCCAATGGCGGCGGCGGCGGCGGGACCGGGGGGGGGGCGGAGGGGCGGGGGCGGTGCCGTGAGGGGAGGGGGCGTGGCCGCGGCGCGCGGCGGGGGGCGTGGCCCCGCGAGCCGGCGGCCAATGGAAGGCCGCGGGCATTTTTCGAACGCCGGCCCCCCCCCGGCCCCTCCCGCGTGACGTGAGGGCGGGGCGGGAGGGGGGAGCGCGCGTGCGCGGGGCGGGGGGGGCGGTGCTGCTCACGCGCTTCCCGCCGCCGGCGCGTGAGGCGATGGCTGCCCGCTGAGGGCGCGGGGGGGGCGGGGCCGGTCCCGAGACCCGCCCGGGAGCCCCGACCGGCCCCTCAACATCGGCCCCGCCCGGCCCTCAGCCCCGACCGGCCCTCAGACCTCAGCCTTGCCGGGCTGGGACCGCCCCGCCGGACCCTCAACCTCAGCCCCACCTCACCCTCAGTCCAGCCGGACCCTCCACCTCAGCCCTCAGCTCAGCCCCGCCGGGCCGGGGCCGCGCCGCCGCCTCCTCAGCCCTGTCAGAACCCTGCGGACGCGTTCCTGTGTCACCTGCCCCAGGTGACCTTGCCTTGGCAGTGGGGTCGGACTGCCAAGTCCAGAGGTCCTTTCCAACCCCAACTGCTCTGATTCCGTGTGTACCCACGAATTCCCACCCGGAGCGCTCCAGGCTGTATCTCAGCTCTGGCCTCTTGCTTCGTCCTCCTGCCCTGGGCGGTGCCTTCCCTTGGCCTCAGCCTTTCACCCCATCACTCGTTACTGTGTAATTAGTGCCCGCAGCAATCACACCGGTCCCAGCGCTGAGGTCTGGCTGAAAGCTGGGGATTCACTGTCGTAACACGCTCACAAGTTCTCACACATGGGAACTGCTCTGTTTCAGGCAGTTTTTATCTGCACCTCAGCGGCCCGGTGTGAGGATTATCATGGCAAGGCAGAACTGAGGTGTGACCCACACTCGTATTTCCCCCATCATAGTTGTTTCAGGGTAATAAACAGAAGTTCTTTCTGTGGACCTCCTGCTGTGCTTTTGCTCCAAGTTTATTTTTTTAGCTAGACCCGTGGGTGTTCTTTTTTTCCCCCTTCCCCCAAATCCTTCTAACTAACCTTGACTTTAAGGTACAACTCCTCAATTGCCTTTCCTAACTATGATTATTCTCTTTTCTGTCATAAGCATGCTTGGAATCATGGAATCACTAAGGCTGGAAAAGCCCTCCAAGATCAAGTCCAACCACTAACTCAGCTCTGCCCTGTTCATCATTAAACCATGTCCCCAAGTGCCACATCCACGCGCCTTCTGAACACCTCCAGGGATGGGGACTCCACCACCTCCTGGGGCAGCCCCTTCCAATCCCTGACCACCCTTTCCATGAAGAAATTTTTCCTAATATCCAATCTAAACCTCTCCTGTCACAACTGGAGGCCATCTCCTCTTGTCCTGTCGCTTGTTACCTGGGAGAAGAGACTGATCCAACCTGGCTCCAAATACACCACAGCACTTTTCATGGGCAGTCTCTTACCCAGACAGTTTCTCATCTTTGTTTTCTGCACATAATCTTTACTCATCTGCTGCCAACCTCCCTCTGCATCTGTTTTTACCGTTTGAAGACCAGTACTGGCACTCACCCATTTATTTAGGCACTTTTATCCCTCTTGTAACGGGAAGCCCCTCCGTGAGCACATTTAGAAGCATTTAAACCATTCAAAGCACTGCAGAGGTGTCTTATTTCTGCAAAAATGCTTTGACTGTTTCTTGTCTAAGCTTTTTCCAACTTTTTCCCCCCTCAGGTGACAGCTGTAAGTGTACTACACCCAAGAATGTCGCCTTCTAAAGCCTTGTGGCCAAAGCCTGGCCCTGCTCAGCCCCTTCTCCATTCCAGATTATCCCTGTGACGCTTCCCTTTGTCTCCTGGGCCGAACAGCCCTGGAAGCATCTGAACCAGATGGCTCCGCTTTGCTGAACATTCCTGTCTTGCCTGTGAGTGTGAAACAAGGCCTCTGCAACTGCACAAAAATGTGTTTCCTTGGCCTTTTTCCCCCTGCGGTGCCTCTCTGGCAGGAGGGGAAGGAAGGTGGAGAAGAGGGGAGGGAGAGGGAATGTGCTCCCTTACTGCCAGCTTTTAAGACACCCAGAAAGAAAAGATGAAATCATCCCAGCAGCCTCACTGCAAG